TCAGTACAAAGCCCAATGTACATTGGTAATGTCTACCTGTCCTTGTCACATTGTTTAATTGTTAATAAAATGTTTGAACAAGAAAAACAACAGGCTTACTGACCAGATCATCAAATGTATTATAGCAAGCATAGCACAATTAGTACAAAAAAATAGCCACACCCATGCAGAACCTAATTTAATAGTGTAGAGTCCTTCCTATTTGGTAAACATATTTGGACCCTGGATGAGGAAGCGCAGAAGCTCAGGCGGCCTATGGCACAGCAGGAAAAGATTTTCTGTAAATGAATAGATATAATTCTACCTTTTAACATTACTTTAGGTCTTAAAGCAGTTGTCTCCAAACTGTAGCCCTGGGGCCAGATGCAGCCCTTTGCTTGCTTTTATCTGGCCCCTGGGGCACTATTTCATCCACTGATGCCATCAATGGGGCAAAATTCCCCCTACTGTCACCAACAATGGAGCCCAATGATGGGGTACAATTCCTCCCAATGATACCAACAATGGGGCACTATTCCTTCCAATGACACCAAAGATGGGGATTTATTTCCCCACTGATGTTGGGACCTTTTTTCCTCCCAATGGCCCCAGTCTGGCCCCCCTAAGAACTGAAGGACAGTAAACTGGCCCTTTGCTTAGAAAGTTTGGAGACCCTTGTCTTAAAGGATAACTCACGTATTCTATATTCAAATATTTTTTGAGAGGAAAATATGTTTGTGTCCCAGAATTCCACTTGTATTACATTAAGACTATTGGAATGAAAGACACCAAATTGCATTGCTGTAAACATATGTGTGTCATCCGAGGGATCCGAGGGATGATATTTCCTGCCTGAGAAAAGCACATAAACCTCTCTGGAATGTAGCAATGATTGGTACCAGATCTGCTTCGTAAGCTTTTCAAATTTGAATAAAACTTACAAAATTTAGTGCCTGTTGCCATTGTTATTATTTCAAATTGTGGGCTTAGTAAAAGTTCCCTACTGTGATTGTAGTGCCGGGCAATAAACAATGTGCTGTCAGTTATCCACACCTGTTGCCTACGCACAAAAGATGCTGGTGAAGGATTTATGGAGTACAACCTGCTGTACTAAAAACACAGAGCATGGTTTGGATATGCTCAGAAGATAAAGCTCGGAGACATTTACATAAAAACGTATGTAGAAGCTTAAGAGAAGACGCTCCACTAAACTGTCCTTAAAAGAAAAAAAAAACTTTAGTGCATTAGCTATATAAGTCATTTAGCCAGAAAACAGAAAAGGAATAGTAGATATGATAAAAAAGTAATTCAACTGGTAGACAAAGAAGATTATATTTTTTAAATAGATTGTAAAATTGCAGCATATTTTCAGAAATTAACTAATCTTAATCTTAAATCATTATAAAATATATGTAAGGTGCAGCGCTAAAATAGCATAAATGACATACATAACATAATATAAATAAAGTGCAAATATCAAATCACACTAAGATGAGATTGAGTGAGATGAAAAGTCCCAAAATAAGGCCGAGCGTGGGGATCTGATAGATCCTAATAGGTGCGTGGGATAAAGTTCAGTGTATCACACGGTGAATCTGGGGTAAAAATTGCGCACTCACCAGAAGTGCGTCAAAAATACGCACGTAAGATTTATCCTGTAGTATCGGATAGCGGTCATCAATTGCCAAGATAGGGACAGGGTCATACACCTTCCAATCGCAACTTGGGTTAGATACTCCAAAATTCATATACGTGTTCAAGCGTGTCACCATCCGGGGTCCCCTTTTTGAGCAGATTCTGCAAGTGGGGACTCTCATTGAAGAGAGCCCAATAAGGGACACCACATAGCGTGATACCGTATACACTGATTTTATTGAAGGTAACACAACATGAATTGTAGAGGTAAAATGAAAATAAATACTGACCAGATATTAGTCAGGATGGCCACCTGCGGTGGTCAGACGTCCGGATACTGTACCCCTCTGACGCGTTTCGTGCGGTGCACATTATCAAAGGGTCCTGGGCTTACATGCAGGGACGTCAAAGAGCTGTTTATATTTTTATTAATCTTAAATCACTGTTTAGTACATTAATAACAATTGACACCATTGCAATTAATCAGAGAAGAACAAGCTTTGGAAAATGCATTCTACAAGAGAATAAATTATATGTAGTGCCTCCTGCGCTGATATGGATGAGCTAAATATAAGCACCAAAATGCCTCAACCTAGGCACAAAATAATATACACCAAGGTAGTGCGGCGCTACATAAAACCTAAATACTGGAGAGAACAGGTCACACATATAATAATAATGACAGTATTAATAACACACACTAAACAATAGGTAAGTGCTGCCAAGAACACACTCCCCCTCCTTCATCCTCAACTGAGGGATCATATGTGAGTGCAAAAAGCAGTGTGTGAATCCCCTGCAGGATGAGGTGACACAGTGAACCGTGCAAAGACTCTACTGGACAATACTATGGCCAACATAGTGTAAACCGTTTATTGATGTATACCAGATAAATAACAAATGCCCACTCATGTTTTAGAGGCACATTCAGGCTTTCACACCACACTATGGGTGTACTGCATGGATGTACAAAACGGGTGCACCAAGATGGCGCCTGCGCCGGATGTGATGTCACTGCGCACTAGAATCTCCTCCCACTGGCGCACCTACGCGTTACGTCACGGTCTGTCACATGACTTCCTCAGGATACAGCCAACACTATGTTGGCCATTCTCTGTTTTACTACTGGGGCTGTGTAAGGAGAGTTACATGCGCAGGAGTGGTACAAGTGGCTGGAGGTGTAAACTAGTAATAGGAGGATAAGAGCACCATCATCATTACTAAGAAGACTACCCAGGACAGGGAGGATCGTCTTGGAGTGATTCATAAGGCTCATTGGTCCTGTGGGGCCTGGGCAGGAAGGTGAGAGGGCACCCCAGCCTGTGAGGATTGGCACTATACCTGCACAAGAATTCCACCTGCATGTGTATGTGACGTGATGCCATTCATGTGGACTATTTATACTACAGCATCTATATCGATTCTGGGGATAGTATGTATTGTATTGTCCAGCAGAGTCTTTGCACGGTTCACTGTGTCACCTCATCCCGCAGGGGATTCACACACTGCTTTTTGCACTCACATATGATCCCTCAGTTGAGGATGAAGGAGGGGGAGTGTGTTCTTAGCAGCACTTACCTATTGTTTTGTGTGTGTGTTATTAATACTGTCATTATTATTATATGTGTGACCTGTTCTCGCCAGTATACAGGTTTTATGTAGCGCCGCACTACCTTGGTGTACATTCTACAAGAGAGTTGCCCGATTCAACCCAAATTTGCAGGACGAAATCCATTCATTGAAGTTTGCAAATTTTTCCATTAAAAGAACTGCTTTGGTTAAAGGGCAAGGATAGATATTTCTTGTATTTTATTTATTGCTGTCTGTGTCCCACCTATGTAGATTGACCCTCTTTATTTATCCTGTGACCATTGTCATTGAAACAGTAAGGATTGGAAAGCCAAAGTTGTCACCTGAACAAGAGGTGAGGGTAAAGCCCTAGTACACATGGGCCGATAGTAAGGCGGAATCGGCCAGTTCAACAGAAACTGGCTGTGTACAGCAGCCGGTCCGACAGAAGTCAGCCAATCGACCGGCTTCTGTTGAAGGGGCATGACCAAGGTGTGCCAATCGGCTTCCAATCAGAGCTCAGGAGTGTTCCGGGGGCCGTCCCCCCTGTCAGAACACAATAGCACAGCATGGAAGACATTGGATAGTTATACAGGGGCTCCTCCTGAGCCGTCAGGTTTTGTTTGTTCAGCCTGCTGGGGTGAACAAAAAAAAGTGTGCCAGGCTTTAGCCTTGCAGAGATTTCCTCTCACTTCCTGTAGCTAGGAAAGGAAGTTAAAGGAAATATTGCCAATAGCACAACAAAAATGACAGAGGTGTTATCCCTTATCTACTTTATTTATAATGCTCCTTGATGAGTTCCCACAAATGCCCCATCAATTGTTACATTGAGCAAACAATTAGAAAGATCTCCTGGTGAAGATATCATACAGGAAAGGGCATTTGGGATTAAATACTATATACATTATATTGCCAAAAGTATTGGGACACCTGACTTTACACGCACATGAACTTTAATGGCCCCCCAGTCTTAGTGCGTAGGGTTCAATATTGAGTTGGCCCCGCCCTCTGCACACACATGACCTTTAATGGCCCCCCAGTCTTAGTCCGTAGGGTTCAGTATTGAGTTGGCTCCGCCCTTTGCAGCTATAACAGCTTCAACTCTTCTGGGAAGGCCGTCCACAAGGTTTAGGAGGGTGTCTATGGGAAGGTTGGACCATTCTTCCAGAAGCGCATTTGTGAGGTCAGGCACTGATGTCAGACAAGAAGACCTAGCTCCGCTCTAATTCATCCCCAAGGTGTTCTATCAGGTTGAGGTCAGGACTCTGTGCAGGACAGTCAAGTTCCTCCACCCGAAACTTGCTCATCCATGTTGTTTATGGACCTTGCTTTGTGCACTGGTGCGCAGTCATGTTGGACCAGGAAGGGACCATCCCCAAACTCCTCCCACAAATTAGGGAGCATGAAATTGTCCAAAATGTCGCCTTAAGAGTTCCCTTCACTGAAACTAAGGGGCCAAGCCCACCCCTAAAAAACAACCCCACATGGATTAAGGTAATCCCCCCTCCACCAAACTTTCCATTTGGCACAATGCCGTCAGGCAAGTACTGTTCTCCTGGCAACCGCCAAACCCAGGCATGCCCATCAGAGTGCCAGAGAAGTGTGGTTCATCACTCCAGAGAACATGTCTTCCCTGCTCTAGAGTCCAGTGGCGGCGTGCTTTACACCACAGCCTCTCATTCTTTGCATTGCACTTGGTGATATAAGGCTTGGATGCAGCTGCTCGGCCATGGAAACCCATTCCATGAAGCTCTCTACACACTGTTGTTGTGCTGATCTGGAGGCCACACAAAGTTTGGAGGTCTTTTTATTGACTCTGCAGACAGTTGGCAATTTCTGTGCACTGTGCGCTTCAGCATGCGCGCTGACCCCGCCCTGTCATGTGACGTGGCCTACCACTTCATGGCTGAGTGGCTGTTGTTCCCAGTTGCTTCTACTTTGTTATAATCCCACTAACAGTTGAGCGTGGAATATTTAGTAGCCAGGAAATGTCACGGATGGACTTATTGCCCAGGTGGCCACCTATCACGGGACCACGCTTGGAGTCACTGAGCTCCTGAGAGCGACCCATTCTTTCACAAATGATTCTAGAAGCCGTCTGCATGCCTAGGGGCTTGATTGTATACACCTGTGTCCATGGAGGGGATTGGAACACCTGAATCACATGATATGGAGGGGATTGGAACACCTGAATCACATGATATGGAGGGGATTGGAACACCTGAATCACATGATATGGAGGGGATTGGAACACCTGAATCACATGATATGGAAGGGATTGGAACACCCGAATCCAATAATAAGGAGGGGATTGGAACACCTGAATCCAATAATATGGAGGGGATTGGGAACCCCTGAATCATATGATGTGGAGGTGATTGGAACACCTGAATCATATGATATGGAGGTGATTGGAACACCTGCATCCAATAATATGGAGGGATGTCCCAATACTTTTGACAATATAGTGTAAGTTAACAGCATAATCATCACCATCTGCAGATTAGACTGGGCAGGAAAGCTGATAAAAACAAATAAAGGTTTCCATTAAATAAGTTATGGGAACACCTCACCAAAATAATTTTCTATTTGAATCACATTATTTCTATAATTGGGGTTTATTTACTAAAGCTGGATCACTCAGAATCTTGTGCACTTCTGCATAGAAACCAATCAGCTTCCAGGTTGTATTGCTAAAGTTCAATTGAACAAGCTGAGGTGAGAAGCTGATTGGCTCCCATTCACAGATGCTCCGGATTCTGAGTGAACCAGCTTTAGTAAATAAGCCCCATTATGTAGATTGCATTTAGCACCACCATGTTATAGAAAAGTAATATGCCTAACTAAAGGCAAAACATTTTTTTTAGTTTTGGATAAAGTGGAGGGGGATTAGCACACCTCTGAGGTTTTTATTGCTGTCTGCGCCTCTGTTTGGTTGGTTCAGTCTCTCAGTCTGTCCTGTTCCCCATTATCACAGAGGTTGAAAGTAAAAGACAATCCTAAATTTTGTGTTATCACCAGAACAGAAATACAGAGGGGATCTTACAATGGGGCCAGTTCTGGAGGGATTTCCTTTCACTTCCTGTTTTGGCTATGGGACAAAAAGTGAAGACAAATCTCTCCAAGGAGACACAGATGTCATAAAACCTGACAGGGGATTAAACCCATCCACTATTCTATCCAAAATGAAAAAAAAGTTTTACCTTTAGTTGTACTGTGTGCATAGACAGCAGGGTTCAGTTATCGGGAATCTGCTCCCAGATGGCTGTCTATATGTATAAAGGAGTTGTCACTTTCATCCAGTTACATAATACACATTTATTTATCACTATCTAAAATCCTGTTTATAAAAGGTTTAACAATTCATAATTCCTATAGTTTGCAGTTCACAAAAAAAAAAAGTTAAAAATGTCAGTTGCATGGAGAGGTAAAAAGAGAGTTCACATGCCATAGAAGTCTTCAGCGATGGGAGAGTTATTAATAATTGAATACCCTCCAAGATTATGTTTCTGTGAAAAGATCAATAATAATACTTAAATATACAGTATGTATCACTTTGCAGTTCTGAAGGTTTAGAGCTTTTCGCTATATCTGTGGTACAGAGCTTAGCATTCATCTGATGGTTCTGATGTTTGATAGGAAAAAGATTGGGGCCAGCAACAATGTAACAGTATATAGGTCGTCTTACATTCCATATCCTCAGGGTCTACTTGTTGACTGGGGGGGGTAAGTTCCACATTTCACAGCCTGGTGTGCACTGTAACTACTGATTGAATGCTTGCAGTTTTTACTGATTCCAGCTCTTTTTTAACCACTTCCTGTCTGGACACTTTTACCCCCTTCCAGTCTGGACACTTTCCCCCCCTTCCAGTCCGGACACTTTCCCCCCCTTCCAGTCCGGACACTTTCCCCCCCTTCCAGTCCAGACACTTCCCCCCCCCCCCTTCCAGTCGGACACTTTCCCCCCCTTCCAGTCCGGACACTTTCCCCCCCTTCCAGTCCAGACACTTTCCCCCCCCTTCCAGTCCAGACACTTTCCCCCCCTTCCAGTCCGGACACTTTCCCCCCCTTCCAGTCCGGACACTTTCAACCCCCCTTCCAGTCCGGACACTTTCACCCCCTTCCAGTCCGGACACTTTCCCCCCCTTCCAGTCCGGACACTTTCCCCCCCCCTTCCAGTCCGGACACTTTCCCCCCCCCTTCCAGTCCGGACACTTTCCCCCCCTTCCAGTCCGGACACTTTCCCCTCCTTCCAGTCCGGACACTTTCCCCCCCTTCCAGTCCGGACACTTTCCCCCCCTTCCAGTCCGGACACTTTCCCCCCCTTCCAGTCCGGACACTTTCCCCCCCTTCCAGTCCGGACACTTTTACCCCCTTCCAGTCTGGACACTTTCCCCCCCTTCCAGTCCGGACACTTTCCCCCCCTTCCAGTCCGGACACTTTCCCCCCCCTTCCAGTCCGGACACTTTTTACCCCCTTCCTGTCCAGGGCAATTTTCAGCTTTCAGCGCTATCACACTTTGAATGACAATTGCGCGGTCATGCAACACTGTACACAAATTATTTTTTTACCATTTTTTTTGAGACAGATAAAGCTTTATTTTGGTGGTATTTATTCACCGCTGGGATTTTTATTTTTTTTTTGCTATGTAAATGAAAATGTCCAAAAATTTTGAACAAAAGTGTTTTTTTTTATAAAATTTTGCAAATAAATAATATTTCATCATAAATCTTGGCCAAAATGTATTCTGTTATCTTTTTAGTAAAAAAAAAAACAAAACAAAACAAATTAGTTTATAACCAAAAATTATAATTTTTATAAACATTTTTTTTACATTTTTATTTAATTTTTTTATATTATTATTTTTTATTTTTTTTTTTTTTTTTACATACTGTCACCCTAGCAGTACAGTGTCACCATGGTGACACTGTACTACTTGTGGGGGGTGATGAAGATTTTTTTTTTTTTTTTTACACTGATTGCTTTTACACCCATATAGGATATAAAAGCAATCATTTCTCTTTCTCTCTGTCTGCATTCTTGCAGCCATTGATAACTACTGAGTGAGCTGTGATTGGTCACAGCTTGTCACATGGTACAAGGCCTTGAATAGCCTTGTACCATGTGACCTCTGTGATCATTCACAGATTTCACACATAGTAAGCAATGATGTCAGAAGTGACATCTTGCTTACTACTTTGCATGTGATCACTAATTGGCCAATCAGTGATCACATGATCGGGACCTCGTACAGAGGTCCCGTCCGACGATCGGTGTTTCACTGTGTCCGGAGGACACAGCGGGCACCGGATCGCGGTGCTGCGTGCTGCCAGGGAGCGCGCACAAGCAGGGTGCGGGGAGGCCGTTTATAAACGTCCACCTGACCCTGCACTGCCACCGTCCGGCCGTTTATATACAACGGCCAGTCAGAAGTGGTTAATTCATAATTTCCCAATATGACGAGGAGAAAGGTTTGGGGACCTATAGGGTATCATCAGCAGAAAGTGTAAAGACATTCAAGAACGGACTATCTCGAGGATGACTAGAAATGAAAACGAAATATAGAATTTGTTAAAAAGGAGACTTTGAAGGAAGTAGAATATTTTATGTTGTCTAACATTAACTAAAGAAATAAATAAAATAGAATACATGGCGTTTTTATCCATCAACTATCATTCAAATGTAATGAAGCACAACTTTGGGTACAATCCATCTTGCCTTGTTGGATCTTGAACAATTCACACATCATTGCAATAATACGTAGTAAAAGCATAATAAACACAATCTTCACGATTTCTTTTACTCTCCCCATTTTTTTTATATTTGTCTCCTCAACCCCTCTGATAATTGTTTCCTTTCAATTGGATGTTCAGACTCTAGGAAACACTATAGGTAATGCAACAGTTTTTTAAAAAATCATGTTTCAGCCAGGGGCGGACTGACAACTCATGGGGCCCCCGGGCAATAGGGGATCATGGGGCCCCTGTGTCCTTGCCCAAACACAAAAAAGCCTATGAAAAAGGTACCATGGGCATCTCATGGGGCCCCCTACTGACCCCGGGCCCTCGGGCAGTGCCCGAGTTTCCAAATGGTCAGTCCCCCCTGGTTTCAGCCAAAATTTAGAAACAGATTTCTTGAAAATCACTTTTTCAGAACCAATATAGGGATTTCAGGAGAAGACTCGTTTAGATTCCTTATGTTGATGGGCATTTTCTTTTCATGCATTGTGTTTGCCTTTCAAATGCAATGGCTTACATGTGGATGGCAAGCTCAGTGTTTGACCAGAAAAGGCTGCATTTGAGCTATTTTGCCTGCACTTCACAAAAAAACTTAAAAAAATGCAGCACAATCCAAAGCAGATCAAAGCCTTTGAACTTCTATGTGTACTTCTCATTTAGAGTACATTGGAATTTGTTGGCCTGCGTCTCATGCCAAATGAAGTAAAACAACATCCATTACCATAAGTCCTAAATATATGGAATACATTTCCTTGATTTTCTATTAAAGTACACCTGCCAGTAATAAAACATCGTAAACTGTCCAAAGATCAGCGCAAAGGCTTGTCATACCCTTAAAAGTCTCTGGAACTCCTCAAATAGCTCCTATATGTCATTCACACACTTCTTGTTAGTGTTGAAGGCTGACTCTCTCTTACTTCACCTACCTATTGGACCATTGCAATGATGGGCAGCTTTACTTTTCAATTAGGAAGTACAAGAGGTGGGAGCAGGCAAGCTAGCAGAAGCAGAAGTGTGCGTGACATAAATATTTCTATATGATCTGTAAAGTACTACTTTGTATGTTTGTACTGTATAAATACAGGAACTTATATACTACATAGATAATATATTTTTATCTATATACCCACATATCCAACATATCCCACATATCCACCATTTGTTACTGTTGGGATTCCATTATGATTTACAAGTGGGTTTGTTTTTAGGGGGTTTATTGCTTGTGGTTTATATTTCAAACTTTTTGTATTTGCATGAATAAACATTTGATAATTGCTGGGCAGCAACTTGTTTTAAGTTTAAGTCTTTTGTGGCTGTATTAGATAGTTTGCACTTTTTGCTGGCATGCCAGAATGGTGCAATCCTCATATATAATGTCGAGCTTGGTTATTATTATAATGTTTTTATCAGGACACATTTATAGATGCATGGGAGCAAAATAAACTACTTGGAATATCAAACAGAAGTCTTTTTCTGGGCTTGGGAAAAAATAAAATTGTCCTGTAAAAGGTTAGGGAAAATTGCAAATCTTGGTGAATATTTGTACTATGAACTCAACTGGAAAGATGAATCAGTTCTTAAGATGTACGTTCTCCTTTTGTCTTAACAGTATGCCTAGAGCCAATATATATATATATATATATATATATATATATATATATGTATATATACAGTATATATACTATATTGCCAATAGTCAGCCACAAAGTGGTAGGCCACGTAAATTGAAAAAAAACTGGCCTTCAGATTAGCACAACAGTGCGTAGAGAGGTTCATGGAATGGGTTTCCATGGCCGAGTAGCTGCATCCAAGCCTTCCATCACCAAGTGCAATGCAACGCGTCGCATGCAGTGGTGTAAAGCACGCCGCCACTGGACTCTAAAGCAGTGGAGACGTGTTCTCTGGAGTGATGAATCGTGCTTCTTTGGCAACTCGATGGATGTGTCTGGATTTGGCGAGAACGGTACTTGCTTGACAGCATTGTGCCAAGTGTAAAGCTTGGGGAGGGGTGATTATGGATTATGGGGTTGGGCTTGGCCCCTTAGTTCCAGTGAAGGGAACTCTTAAGGCATCACTATACCAAGATATTTTGGACAATTTCATGCTCCCAACTTCGTGGGAACAGTTTGGAGATGACTCCTTCCTGTCCCAACATGACTGCCCACCAGTGCACAAAGCAAGGTCCATAAAGACATGGAGGAGCCAGTTTGGGGTGGAGGAACTTGACTGTCCTGCACAGATTCCTGACCTCAACCTGATAGAACACGTTTGGGGTGAATTAGAGCGGAGACTGCGAGCCAGGCCTCCTCCCCCGACATCAGTGCCTGACCTGACAAATGTGCTTCTGGAAGAATGGTCCAACCTTCCCATAGACACCCTCCTAAACCTTGTGGACGGCCTTCCCAGAAGAGTTGAAGCTGTTATAGGTGCAAAGGGTTGGCGAACCCAATATGGGACCCTACGGACTAAGACTAGGATGCCATTAAAGTTCATGTGCCGTAAAGGCAGGCGTCCCAATATTTTTGGCAATATAGTATAATATATATATATATATATACAGTACTGTTTTTAGGCAGGTATGAAGTATTTCATTTTTTATTTTTATCAATTTACAAAATGCAAGGTGAGCGTGACAGAATGAAAACCTAACTCAAATCAATATTTAGTGTGACTACCCTTTTCAAAACCAGTGTCAAGTCTTACACTTGCACACTTTGTACAATTGCATGCTAATGATCATCAATTTCATATGTTCATATGTAGGCTGAAACACAGTAATTATATAAAAATAAACAGCTGCACAGGAGGTCTAAAACTGGGGGAGGGACAGCCAAACTATGATACTAAGGTGAGTTTGTGGAAGACAGTTTCATGCCACAGTTCATGCGCTATGGCAAGACTGAGCAGAGCAACAAGACACAAAGTAGGGATATTGCTTCAGCAAGGTCTCTCCCAGGCAAAGATTTCAAAGCAGACTGAGGTTTCAAGATGTGCTGTTCAAGATCTTTTGAAGAAGCACAAAGCAGGCAATGGTGAGGACCACAGATACTTTGGTTGTTCAAGGAACGTTAATGCAGCAGATGAAATACACATCATACTTACTTCCCTTTGACATTGAAAGATGTCCAGCAGTGCCATCAGCACAGAACTGTTGGAAACCAGTGGGACCCAGGTACACCCTTCTACTGTTCGGAGAAGTCTGGTCAGAAATGGTCTTCACGGAAGAAATGTGGCCAAAAAGCCATACCTCCAATGTGCAAACAAGGCTAAGCAACAAACAGGTGAATCAACTATGTGCAAAAAGTGGGGTGCAGAAAAATGGAAGCAGGTGCTCTGGATTGGAATATATGAGATATATATATATATATATATTCAGTTTTCATTAGGGGGATTCTGCTAGTGAGTCCCTGTATTGAAGACTCAAAAGAATGTGAGACTAAATCTCTCCAAAGTCAGGGCAAATCCTCTCTTACACAGATGTCCCTGGAGTGTCACCATTGGAAGAATACTGTTCCAATGATAACAAATGTTGGGGTTGATTGACTAAAACTGGA